AATTAATTGATCAGTTTGTTGAAGCTTGACACATGATATGAGGAATACCTTTGACACTGTCATTGATGAAGGATACGAAAAATATGTAATCTAATTGAAACTGCTTTCAACTGTGGAATGAAATAAGAATAAAATGTTGTGTGTGTGTGTGAATGTGTTTGTGTGTGTGTGTGAGTGAGACAGAGTGTTCAATTTCTATTATTCAGTTGTTACTGTCAACTATGTAATAGGCAGATTTAGAGCTCTAGGTGATAACAGCTTCTGAGTAGGTACTCAGTAGTTAATGGATTCCAGGTCAGCCAGGTGTGACAAACCCTGTTAATTACAGTATTCTTCATAAGTTCTGTGGGGTCCCTGATTATTGATTCATTTACTAGTAGACATGGCACTTTACTTAATCCTGAGTTACTGTGCATGAACAGATGGCTTGAATTTTTTTTTTTTTTTTTCTTTTTTTTGTCACTTCAACAGTATATGAGATTTTATTTTTAACCTTGGTATGAAACTAGTGCATGGTGAAGAGCTGTGCATTTTGGTACAAAAATCATTTCATTCTTTTTTATTATTTTTCTCTTTTGCCCTTAGTTTTGTTTTAAAAAATCTTTTTATGAGTGGATATTACATAAATGTTCAAGTTTTCTTTTTAAAGAAGGTAATCAATACTCGAAAGACTTAATATTTAATAAATTTTTTATTCACCTCCTAGGACCTCTTGCCAATAGTAATTCCAATGTGATCATCAGAAGCCAGAGGAACAGGTTACGCCATAGCATGCCAGAGCCTGGACTGTCTGATACAGACGATAAAGGTATGAATAATTAACTTACCTGGTCTGAAGCACCCTGAGTCTCATAGTTTTGGTGGCAGCTGTCTGTGCTAAGTGTGTATTGCAGCTAATGAGAGGAGTAGAGTGTTACTTGGGGAAACAGGGTATACATTGTAGGGTGGGATGTTGTGGATTTTTGTTAAGAAATATTCAGTGTACCTGTAGATGTCTTTGTTTTACTGATTAACTTTTACTGAAATTAAATATGAAAATGACTCACATGTATATGCATGCTTGCATGTGCATGCAGAGACATACGTATGAAACGTACACACACATGTAGGACTTGCCATAGTATCCAACACATTTGGCACTGACATATTAGTTTAGGAAAAACTGCCATAGGTGATAGATGTTAGACCATGTTGTTTTATACATTATATATATAATTTGTGTGTTCCAGATGATGAGCCTGAACACATAGGCCACAGCAGAAGTAAAACCATGCCACCCTCAGATCTGGGCACTGGACTGAACCGACCCAAGATGAACAGCAGAAAACTGGCCATGGTCAACTTAGACAGGGTGAAGAACGCCAAGATGATTGCAGAAAAAGCTGCCAAGGTAAAGAGAAAAGAATAGAGATAAGCAAATAAGTATATGAATAGATTGTGTTTGTAAGTTCAGTTGACACTTTTTTAAAGGATGATATAACCTTCTCTTTTCTCATGCTACATGTGCAAATAGTTGAGTTCCAGTTTTTCATTTTTTAGCAGTGCTGTTCTGAACTTGACATAAATGATTTGCAACCACAGACTGTATCAGTAATCGTATCAGTCATACTTGATGTGTTACTATGTATTCAAATGTCATTTCTATTTGGCTATTGCATTGACATAATTATCATCTTAAATCCTCAAAATTTTATTTAAAAAAAGGGTGGATTATTGGAAGGCCTTTCACTTTATGTTGCTTCTGAGAGATATTTGATGCTGGCTTTCAGAATGGGATGGTCTTTGCCATGCAAACCCACTGCCACCACATTCAGACCTCCTTACTGAGGAGAGGTTGGATCCAGAAACCGTGGGAAGAATGTGATGTACTAGACAACAGAAATGTGATTTTTCTGTCCTAAATAAAAAAATTCCTTTTGTTGTTTTGTTTCTAGATCAGATTGCAAACCCAAACCGAAATGTAGAAAGTATTTTATGTATACACACTGATATTTTCTTTTTTGTTTTGGTTTATTTTCAGGTTTAGATGTCTCATTATTATTTTTATTATTATTATTAGTATTATGATTGAATTAATCACTGTCCTGTTCAAGTTAACCTGATTCAGCATTGAATTTCACTTGTAGATTTGCCCTTTTATCCTTTCTATCAGGAACTTTGTTTGCACCAGACGTGGTAGACTTTTTGTGTCAGCAATAACATTGTGCTTTGTTTCAATAGATGTTGAATCCTCACTGACCGATATTTTCTGCTTTGATACTAATGAAAAATAGAAATATAGCAATATCTTTTAACTCTTGTTCAGTTCTTTGTCAAGACTCATTCGTTGAAAATTTTTTTATTGGAATTTTTACTAATCACATACGTCAGGACTCAAAAAAATTGATGCATTATTGCATTCAAACCTGTTTTTTATTTGTCTCATTTTTTACAGATAAAACCAAATGAATGACAGATATTGCTTATAAGTGAAATAATGAACCATATGCCATTGTTTTTAATCTGACAATTGTTTTTGATTTGTTTTCAGCAACGTCGAGTGTTCACCATTGTTGGGCCCTACCCCACCATGAGAACGACTATGAGAAAGAGAGGATGGGTTGAGAAGTTTTATCGCACAGAGAGTAACCCAAAGAAATCCCCAAGAAAGAAGAAACCATCCAATGGCGGAGATGATGACGATGATGATGATGATGACGACGATGATGATGGAGATTATGATGATGATGATGGTAAGTAGAACTGGAATCTTTAAAGCATCATTAAAAACTAAAACTGAATGATCTAATGCATTAAAAACACTAGGAATCAATTGAGTGGGTGTGGTCCTTATCCTTAAGACTAGCTAGCTGAAGATACACTTACAGTTATAATGGTCTAACATCCACCAGCAGTTATAATGTTCACAAGTATTCTAACCTCATGAAGTATGGATTGGAAAATGATGGGCAAATATCTAAGTGATATTTGGTGTGTGTTGTTTTTTATCTTAGGTTAATTGCAAAAGAGAAGATAATGATTTTGGAGGGCTTCAAAGCATCAGGAGTAGTTTAAAGCACTGTGTCTTGTGTTTGTGCCATGACAGCAAATAAATATTTATAAATGAAAATGTGGATTATACCATTAATTCACATGCCATGGGATATTGATTTATATTCAAGCTGCAAATTAGTTGTCTTATTTGTTTATTTATTGACTGAGTTTGTTTAAATTATGAGCTACCTTCCATAGGATATGTACTGGTATACTACTCTTGTTTGTCTACTCCTTTTATCTAGTTTATTTTATTTTTGTTTTGCTGCTGTATCTGAGTATTGGTTGTGATATATTCTGGTGTTCCTATTACAGATATGGGTAAGGATGAAAATGCTGTTCCTCCTTGGGAAGAAGAAGATGGGATATATGGAATTATGGTAAGTTTTGCAGTTTCCAGTATGACAAATTTATGATATATTAAGTGAAAAACTTACAAAATTTATATGATAATATTAGTAAAATTACATTATTTAGTGTTTTTTATCTATTGATATAATTGTTTTAGTCTCTCACAAGGTTCACATTTAAAGACTAAAAATTTGAGCTTTAATATCAGCCAAAATGTTGACTCTAGAATGTTGATACTTTCTGTCATCTAGCTTCTGCCAGCTTCAACAGCAACAACAACAAAAGAAGATTTCAAGGGTTGTATACATGCCAACATCACCATAAAGTGATTTGGTAATAAATTTGTTTTTCTTCTTCAGTCCCGTGTGATCAGAAATGTGACCCCCACCTTCATCTGGAGTGTCAGACGTGATGCCATTGACTGCAAGTTCCTGAGGAAAGAGCAAATGTTCAACCATTATGGAAAGGCCACTTTTACAACAAAGGTAATAGACAGTGTATAGATAAGATACAACATTTTAACTTTTAAACAATATTAGAATATTTTATTAGTTCTGGTTTAGAAAAAACATGAAAGTGCTGACATTTGAAAAGTTTTGTTATATTGATACGTAATTTTTCCATGAATATTGTGCTTTGGGTGATTTACATAATGCTTTATGATTTTCTAATATGAAGAAACAAACAATAAGATAATATAAAATTTTTGCTGTCTTAGGTTGGTCTTCTTGGTGGTATGAGGAACACTTTATGGTTTGAAGATGCTGACCCAGATGCATTTTTTCCACGTTGTTACAAACTGAGTAATGATGAAGAGAAAGAGGCCTTTACTGGTAAGAATAAACAAAATGAGTTATACAGATCAAAATATTTTTGTTGTAAAATACTTTAATTATTAGAAGCATAAGGCATTTGTAGTATCTAAATTATCCTTGTCCATTCGAGTCGTGTTATTGGTATTCATGTTGATAGGAGAAATCTGATCAGAAACATTTTGGATAATTCTTTACTTAATTTAGGTAGGAGAAGATCAATATATAATTTTTTTGTAATGCATGAAATTATATTTTGTAAGCCACGGAAAAAATAGAAAGATTTCCCAAGTATTGGAAAGGTATGGATAAAATGGATCAT